GAAATTATATCCATGGACTAATACAAACTTTAAGAATGTCTGGTGAATTCAGCAGTTTCCAGTGAAAGAAAGGAGGGAATCTCCTGTCAGGGTTGCGTGGCAAAATTTCACTCTGTATTGCTTATCTGCAAACGCAAAAGCAATTACAATTTGAGTTGGAGGATGAGGGATAGAATCACACAAATGACCCAAATTGTGTCATTTGTACAATGAAACTCCAACGTATTTCTTCACAGTTTGTATCAGATAGCTATGAGCTATAAATTAGTTGTTGGGATGGTACTGTCTTTTATTTGTGAAACTTTGAAGGACTTATCTGAAAATCGCTCTTTGAAATGCTGTTCTTGAGGCTAATAGCATGTTTAATTCAAAGTTAAAGCTGGTAATGATTCAGAAAGGAGAGAAAACATCTTCCAGTTTGGGTCAGATCTCCAGATATGAACAATACTGAAGAATTAAACTTGGGCATTTATTTCAAAACCACTCCCCTCTCCCCCCCCAAAAAAAAAATATTCTAGCTGTTCAGACTTTGTAATTCCAACATAAAGTAGAAAAGAGTATAACTCAAAGACAATCATTTCATAATAAATATCAGAATAAATAAAATAGAACTATACTGGTGTAGAAAGGATGCAATATCATCCAACTGGAAAGATTTCTTTACCAGTTTCATGCTGACAGTACATAACATCTGCTTATCTGGATTCTGTTATGTACAGATTGTCTTTTTCTTTTTTTACATTTAGCCTTAACAAAGAATTTTCTTTTCATCTCTTTCATTCTGAAAGTTTAGATTAACCAGACATTGTTTTGTCCTATTTTTTGACATGCTGGACGATGAATGCATGTGTTCATTATTTAGCCATTGCTCTGGAGGCTACCAACGTATACACCAGTTAGTACAGAATGAATTAAAAACAAAAAAAAACTGTCGGTCACTTGTTCCTATCAAACTACAGTATTTTCCAAATTCAAAGGAAGAGAAGCTAGCAACAATGGTTTTTGAAAGTATGGGAGAGGCAAATATTGGAAAAGCAGTATCTCTTGTCCAATTCTGATTTTAAGAGCTTGAAAAACTTCCTTCCCATGACTGCTATGAACAAACAGGTGTTCAGTTAAGTATATATGAGGTAAACATGCATATTTTAAATGACAGCATATTAAAAAATAAACAAATTATTACTCAAGGATCAAAGGTTTTCTCAGTAACTTTCGTATGGGTATTTCCATATGTCTATGGACTAATACAAGCTTTAAAAGGACATGAAAATGTCATTGAAAATGTCATTATGTTTGACAGGCTATTGATCCTAATTATTGATGTGGATGGAAAAATGTACAAAAGAACTCAGAGACTTCTGGACTGTCTCGAATTATGAATGATATATATCTAAAACAGTGGTAGGTAACGGCATGCCTTCCAGATGGTTTGATCATCAACTCCCATCATCCACAGTCAGAATGACTATTGTTAAGGGATAATGAGTTCAAATGTAGCACATCTGGAAGACTTTGGGTAACACATCTGGAAGGTTTTAGGTTGTCAGTTTGATCTAAGCAGATGTATGAATAATTAGAATCATCATCTTAATCCTTCCAGGTCTTGTAGCTGCTTCTCCTTGTTGCCACTGTTTTATGACTTGCTCCTTTGAATTTTACCTCAAATGTGTGTTTGATTAGAAATCTAGAAGTATTGCAAATGCCTCATTTACTTGGGAAATGTCACAAAAAGCTATGTGTGTAACAATTATAGAAACACCATTGTTGAGCTATTGTGTTGTAAACAGTCAAGATTTCCAGTGATTTCATTGACTTTGATCTGCATGCAATTCTCTGGATTATTTGTTATGCATGCCTGAAATATGATTGCATAAACTTTTTATTAAAGATTAATAAAATATATTTAAAAATATCCCCTGAGGATTCTTTGGAGAAGTATTTGTTTTTGAGAAAGCCAGCAGCAGAAGGCACCACTAAACCTACTCCTATGACAATGTTTTATTGTGGATTTTTTCCCTGTTAGGTTCCTGACCCAACATTTGTAGTGTTGTTATGTAATTCTTCCTTTGTTCTTTATGTCTTTAAGCAGCTTGTGGCATTTTAGTATAGCAGGAAATCAATTTTTACTTGATGGATCAACTCATTTAAGGAGGTTAGAGAAATTAAAAGCTGACTGCCAGCTATTCAGCTAATCTCGGCAAAATTACCAGCATGTACTACTAGCAGTAACATGCTCCTACCAGGGGCAAAGCCTTAGTGATCTTTTAACCAATCCAATTGTGCAACATGACAAAATATCAGAGCAGTTTGTACTCTGTCTTTTGACTGAAAATGATATCAGTTTTTTGTTTGTTAATAATAATGATGAGTTCATGTTATAGCACGAATTTCAGGCCAATGTTCCTTCCACAGCTATTGAGAAAGAGAACTGAATTGTGTCAAAATTTTCCACCAGATGAGCCCTAGCTGCATTGACAAATGCCAAAGAATTCAATCTGATTTCATAGAAGTACCTTTAGGTCTAGGTCATTGAAGCTATTTCATACAGAAGAGAGATTTTCAAGTGCATGCAAATTACAAGTGGATTTCATTGTCTCCTCTCCCCCCACAAGGACTGATCATTGCTAGTACACATGACAGGGCAACAACCTTCAGCAATACATTGACTATGGCACAAAGTTCCTGCTAAACTTGTCTGATTGTACAGGCAGTACACTCACTTCATTCATGCTTCACTATGACAGTGCTAAAACAGTTTTGGAAGGCCCTGACATCTTGATAAAGCTTTGCCAGCCAATGCCAAAGAACAATTGGTGATAGTACATACTCCCTTTCTGTCTCTCCTTTTCTTCCTCTCACTTGCGTGGGGCAATCAGCAGAACATTATTACACCAATGTCTCAGGATGTGTATCATGGTAGCAGTAGAGAAGAAGCAAAAATGGAAAGGAACAGATGGATCTGCATTTAGTTATAACAGCTACACTCAGAAGCAGACCAGGGACAATAGTTGGAATGGGGGTACTGCAAGGAAAGAGGGGAGAATAATTCAGCTTCAGATATTCTAAAATGTGCTCTCACTGCGGTGACTATGGGTCTGTGGGAGAACATATCAGACAGGGTAATTTTTCCTGGTCCAACAGGTGACTATTTAAAAGCAGGACTTTTGAGGAAAGTATTTTCAATACCACTCATAGCTTTGCAATTGCTTGCCCCTCCTTTTCCTCTTTGACATGGGAATATTGATCTCTCAAGGGCCTGGAAGTTAAGGCTTGAACTTTTTAAAAAACATTATTCTTGAAGACTCTGTATGTGATTACTGAAATTTTGAAAGAGAATGATGAGTCTACCCAAAGATTTGTTTGTTTGTTTCACTGGTGTGTGTGTGTGTGTGTGTGTGTGTGTGTGTGTGTGTGTGTGTGTGATATGGAATTATCAATCTCCCAGGAGATAATAGACCTCACCCTTCACCAAATCCAGATGTTCAGTAGGGCATAAGAGGATAATGGCACGAAGTGTGAGATTTTACTCACTTCCCAACCATTCCCCACCACACCATTCAAGGAACAATTGGCGGTTATTTTTCTTGCATGCTAGGCACTAAGTAGGAGAGGAAAGAAAATTAGGGTATTCATGAATTGTTGTCCTGAATCTCCACTTATTACATGTGTATGGACAACGCCACTCCCTGGCCTCCTTATTGTGTATCTAAAGCTTGGCCATGGGAGCAGTGCAAATTAGGTTGACCTACTTTTCTGCTGTCTCAAGGATGGGAGGAATACACGTTAACATGTCTGTGGGAAAGTGCCCAAAGTGTGAAGAACAGTGAACAAAAGAAAAAAAATGCCATATATAATAAAAAAGCAAAGGGAAACTAACTCAACCCAGTTTATATCAATACCATTCATTGTACTTCTCTCTTTCTAGTCTTATAAACCTCTCCTTGCTTCCACCCTGTCTGCATGCTGATTCATATATTGCCTTTTCTCTTTAAACATATTACCTTTTGTTGTTTGATGATCTCATCAGCCCAATCCAACCATGATTTTCTTGGTTTTTCCCTGAATCTTTCCCACTCCTTTTTCATATAATTAATTAACACTAATTAATTATCTTTTCCTATGTGACCAAGGTGCCTGAGAATACTTCTTTTGTAGTAGTTACTCACTTTGGAAAACCTCAGATGCAAAAGACTATCATCTCTCTCTCTCTCTCTCTCTCTCTCTCTCTCTCTCTCTCTCTCTCTCTCTCT